CTTGTTACCCCCCACCCCTGTTCCCAATAATCAAATACCCGTAACCCAACTCTCCAAGCCACTTCCGCCCACAATTCGACAAACCGGCGGCTAAACAGGCAAGGACCAGCTAGCTTGCATGCATGATTGCGCACGCCTACCGTGCGACTCTGTATTACACAGATTAGCTTATGTATGGGTTGTGATTGATGATTGATGACAGGGCTGGGCGGGTGGAACAGTGATAGGAAAAGACAGGCACCAGCGATTGGGCCAATTTTGTACTCCACGATGGGGAATGTAGGTGGATGGGTTTGTGCGTTGCTCTGACAATTCACGGTTAGGAGGGAAGGTTGGACAAGACCAGAGTTGAATTGCAAAGGGTCAAGGGGCTTGTCACGAACGTATTGTCTAACAGTGTCCTGCCTGTCCTGCCTGTCTGCCTGAGAATACGAAGAGTGAATTGATCCAGATATGTTTCAATATTGTGCATTGATGTGGGATATTATATATTTCGTCCCTTGACAATAATCAATAAAAAAGGGATGAGACGCTATTTAAATACTGTTGTAGGATATGATAGGCAGGTAGCAAACCTTGCCTTAAACATGAGCAAAGAACAAGATCAAAAACCATTAGAGATGTAAAAAAAAAGAAAAAAACCATGCATGGCGCCCAGCGCACAATATACTCCGTAAACTCGAAAACCCAACCAAATCCCCAGGAAAACCAAAACCGCCCCCTTTTTATTTCATGGCATGCCCCGCTCACCGAGCGAATCGCTTAAACGCCATGGTCGCAGCCAAGCCAGTGGCCAAGAGGGCGCTGCCCATGGTGACGGCCTGCAAGGCGGCGTTGAGCATCTGGTGCCTGTTGCGGGTGCGGCAGCGCTTGAAGAAGTCGGCCATGTCGTTGCCGCGGGGGAAGGGAGTGTCGGGAACTTCTTCGCCCAGGAACTCGCACAGCGGACCCCAGCCGTCGCCGATCTGGTACTCCAGCAGACGCTCGGGGGGCACCATGCTGCGGATCTCGGCAACGTGGTCCTCGTACACCTGCTTGCCCTTGTTGGGGAAGTCGCCGCGGAAGAAGGTCTGGAAGAACTTGTTCAACATGGGGTAGTACATGCCGGCGGCCCAGCTGAAGTTGGAAACGAAGCTGTGCTCCGGGTCGGAGACACGCCACCAGACGGTTTTCATGACGGAACTGGAAGGGAGGAATGTTAAATTGATGGACGAGATGATCCGTGAACGAGAAGACTTACGCATGCCACGAGTTCACCTCCCGAGTAGTCAGGATGACCTTCGCGTTGGGGTAGGCTTCGATGAGCTCTTTGGCGAAAGCGCAAGCAGGCCAGTCACAGACAGCCTGGAACCAAATAATTAGTTTTGTACCGTTTGGATTGTCGGATGAGTATTTACCTGGCACTCTCCCAGCAGCTGGTCCCATTCCTTTCTTCCGAACTCGCCCACGCCGTCGTATTTGGCAGCCAGAGCGTCGTGCCACATCAAGCAGTCCGGCGGGTTCTCAACGCTGGCGGACATCATGTGGTAGCACTTCAAGTATCCCAGACGCTCCAGGGCGATCCGGAGAGAGGCAGTTCCCGTTCTTCCCACACCCAGGGCCAGCACCTTCATGGGTACCGTGCGGTGACATTGCCGGCGGTCGATGCAGGTGTCGCCGGTAAAGATGTCGGTCATGGGCTGGGGAGCCAGGTTATCGGAATGAATCAACGACATATTGTGGTATTAAGGTAGGGTATCAAATAGAAAGTAATATAATTCAAGTTCCAGTTTATTATATGAGGAGTATATGAAAGACCGGCGTTCAATAACCGACCGACCGAGAACCGACCGAGGAAGGGATAAAGCCAAAGTAGATACGGACGAGAAGAAAAAAGAGAGAAAGAGACGCGAAGCCAGTGAAGAATGAAAGACGAGGCGAAGAATCCACAGCAATTAAGATGGAAGGGCGACTGGGAGAGCAGTCATTTAAAGACAGGACGTCTTCTAATGGGATAGTCCGAGCCAGACCCAAAGTGGCAAGTCAGATGGACGGAGTGGAATCTTCGACTCGATTGGTAAATTGTTAAATTGTAAATTGTTTAATTGTTAGAAAATATTAGAAGATAAAAAGAAGAAAAAAATGTCAAGAATAGCAGCAATCACCCAACCTAGCTTTTTTATTTTATTTTATTTTATTTTTTATTTTAATTCTTTTCTTTTTCTGGTGTCAATTTTCTCTCTTGTCACTGGAAAATTCATTAATTCTGGTATTCACTCCTGTCCCCCTTGGCGGGTCTTCCGCCCACGTTGGGGGAGTCTGGACGGTGGACATGGACCAGCCCGAGCTCGAACGACGTCACTGGCTGACGCTCGCCGCGATAGTCAGGGGGGCGGGTAGATTAGTACACTGCTTTCTCCACGGGCGATAGCACTTCGCAGAGACGCCGGGGCCAGCGGCCATGACGACGCTCAACGAGCAGTGCTCCGTAGCGAGGAGTACTCTGAAAGATGAATGGAACTGGTGCAGACGTGCCAAGACCTTTGGATCGCCTGAGGCTTCCAGACCGACCGAGCGAACTGTGCCTGGCGGGGCGCTGATTGGCGGCAGTCCGGGCGACGCGTACCTTTCTCCGTTTCGGCTCTTCCATTGAAACGAAGGGATCCACCATCCTCAACCTTGGGACTTGCGAATCTCCTGGCGTTTCCTTTTTTTCGACGTCCGTTGCCCGTTACTGTTAGTCAGTGCTTGGTGCTTGGTGGTTGGTAGTACACTTTTTTTTTCGGCCTCCTGGAAAATGTGCTGGTGGAAAATCATGTATCAGATTGATCGCTGCCACGCTTGGGTTGCATCAGAAACCGGTTGACAAGGACCGCTGCTCATTTGTTTCGAGTTGCAGATATCGACCGTCGGTGAGCGCTCCGTTTTCCATCCAGCGTGGTGAACTGTCTGTCGACTGTTGGCTGTCGAGTGTCGACACGCGCTTCTCGCATACCTCTCTGGTCCATGGTCGTAGACCTCCTCCGGCTGGATGCCTCCCGGGGGTTAGCTATATTTGCTTTAGCATACCAGTAGTCAATAGTTTAACACGAGTCAAGTGGACGACAGGTGGACTCTGGGCCTGTGGTGTTGGAGTCTGGTGCTCATGTCGGGCTCCATTCAAATTCAGAAACCAGAATGGCCCCCGCAAGAGAACACTCCTGGGACTCTGGGACTGGGAGTCGAATCCAGATGAACGGGCCAATTGTGCCGTCCATACTACGGAGTATGGATCGACGGACGGTGAACGTATCCCAATTCCCAAACACACCTGCCCACCCAGCTCCCCCTCCATCAGTTTGTTATCTTCGCGTCCCCTCCCAGTTTGTCCGGAACAGAGTTTGATACTCGTTTCGGGATGGTCGACCGGAGCCGCTGGGGTTGCGGGTGAACATTCCCGCCAGCCCTGAAGGCTATCAATCAATCCATCCATCCACGGAAGCGCCCAAGATCAACGAAGGCTGGTGGCGAATGGTGGAATTTCACTGCTGGGTCTCCGCTTTCGTGCATGTCCCGTCCAGCCTCTCGTAGCCTCGTAAGGGGGGGATAGATAGACAGGGAACAAGGAACTGACTGGGAAGCCAAAAATGCCGCGCCGTTTATCGGGGGAGCGCCGAGCGGTAGACAATCAACTCCCAACACTCGTTAGTGGCCGCCCGTCGGGGATCGACTCGTCGCCCGGAGGACTCGATGCCGCTGACAAGTACACCTACACAAGTCACAAAGTCCTCCCTGCCAAGACGGCCCATCACGGACGTGGGACCGTGAATAAAAAAGGTCTCGTCCGATGTGGTAATAATTCTCAGACGGTTATGACGATCTTCCTGGTGCTTCCGCTTTTCGCTACGGAGCACGAGTGCTCTCCATCGTCCGACTCTCTCAGAGCAAGTCTGGCGGCGGGCACGAGGGATTGATTGTCCCGGTGGATGGGGCTGGCATGGATACGTCGAGGTATTCGTATGTATCTGTCAGAATGGACGTGTATTGGGATTGAAAGAGACAGTCTGGCCTTCTGGCCTTAAGCCCTTCTGTTTTCGAAGGCCGAGGTTATGCATGGCCTAGTTGGTTAGAGCTCAGTGAGGGCTGGTCAGATCAGGTGAGAGGCCGACATGGGTGTGGTAGTCCCGTGACGAGGGCATCCCCGATCACGAAGGATTTTGGTGGTAGAACATGGAAAATGACAGGGAAAACAGAGAGAAAAAAAGTCAAGAATCATGAAAGACCAGCTCGCGCGACCAGCGGCGTCGTCCCCTTTTAAAGCCATCTGCCGCCAAGATATGTTGTCAGAATCATAATATAACTCGCAATCGGTGCCTGCGATCACATCACCCAGCCAGCTCGAAATGCGGGTAAACCCTCCACCACGTCCGTCCGCGGCCCCCGACTGAGCCCTATAGGGTAAGACAAGAGCGCCGATGAACGTTGGCATGACCATCTGAGCTTAAATTCTACCCCAAAAGAGCAATGCCAAGGGCCATGAGTGGTCCGCTGGTAAGGGTTTCAAGTCGGCATGCTCCGCCCAGGGTCTTGTCGACGCTGCCGGCAGTCAGGGTCGGTTGTTGCAAGGCTCTAGGCATCCCTATTCTCGCGCCGTGTCTGGTCAGTTGATGTGACCCTCGACGAAGATGGTGGATGGTGGGACTACTCGTGTTGGTCGATCGTTATTCCAATTCCAATTGCCAACTGGGATTATGCCATGTTATCGCGAACTAATTCCTGATTCCTACTTTCTTCGGCCCGAACGCGAGCTATTAACAGGTTGGGGATAATATAAAACTATAATGGAAAAGGCCCTCGAATCAATATCAACATCCCAAGCCTAGCTCAGATCGCAAGCATGGTTCCCCAAATATACAATAACAGCCATTGAAACCTTTAAACTCCGTGCGACGACCATATCCCGTGGTCGCTCAATGCAATGAATGATATCAGCCCGCTTCCTGATCTCCGTAGTCGGGTATACTCCGTCCGCCCTCGACACCTCACTCCAGTTTGTCCAAGTGCTCCAACCTCGTCAGCACCACTTGTTTGCTCGTCTCTTCGATCTCGCCCGCGAGGAACACCTCGTCTAGAATTGCATAGACCTGCGATAATCCATCAGCCATGCTTTCCCGAAACAATCGCATCGTAGACAGTTCGACATCCTCCCTCCCCTTTCCTCAACGATGTACCGTCCATAATTCCAACCCGACAAAAGTCTAGAAAAACGCCAGGAGCAACGAACCTTGTAAAAGTTAAACACGAGATCCAGCTCACACACATTCCCGAAGAACTGGTCCAGCACCTCCACGAAGAAATGCACCGCCTCCAGATACGCTAGCACATTGTCGGTGGCATCGACACACACGCAGAAGAATAGCCCGGCGTATCGCCGATATACGATCTTCGTACTGCGCTTGAACTCGACGAAATTCGACTGATATTTCTGATCTCTCGGGGCGACGAGGCGGTGGACCTATACGAGCAAGAAGAACCGGATCAGTTCATCATCCGCCTTGATTGATTCTGATAGTAAAGGGGCGCAGGGAGGGGGGCCGGGGGAATCGATTATCGCCGACGGAAGGACTTCGCATGACGCACCTCGCCCTTGAGCTTCACTTTCTCCTCATCCTGTAGATAACCAGTGTCAGTCTATCGTATCGCCGCGGGGTTAGAGTGGGAAGATGACTTACGCTGTAAGGCGCATACCATTTCGCAAGGCGCGTCTTACCCCTTGAATTCATGAATTAGCGACAGGACCACCACAAGAACAACTCGGGGAAAAGCCACTCACTGGCGATTCTGAACCAGAATGAAAGAAAGAACCATCCCGTCTCAAGTGTACCTGCGACCGACGCAGATCAGATTCACTTAGACTCCAGATTGTCGATGTCGAATCCCTCCGTGGTTCTCCGCCTCGGTGGTCTTCGAGCCCCGATTCTGCCGATCTCCACCGCCCGGAGATGGCGTCTTCTAAGATATAGTCTAGACTGGCAAAGCAATTCAAAGGAGGGGGTATAAAATAAATAAACTATATTTAGAATGAAGTGTGATGGGGAATATTGTACCCAGAGCTTGTGTCACTGCCCAGACAAGTGACGGGGCGGTCGCACCGAGATTCGCGCCGAGATTCCCTTTTTCCCTCTTGCTCGTGGTTACATTATGCGCCTAGCAATCACGCCGCATAGAATTCACCTCTATTTAATATGACAGCTTGTCTTGCGCCATCCGTCCTCACTCCTTTCGCCTGGCACTGAATGCATCTCTAGATACGACAGCTACTCCTCGATAGACCCGGACGCTATATTCTTTCGATCCCGATCCCCCGGCAATATGCCCGTCTACTTACTCTACGGCTTCCGGTGGCCGCGCGCCGGCTTCACGGGAATCCGAGTCTACATCGTACTACATAACCTGGAAGACGCGACGGCGGAATACCTCCAACAACCGCTCACAACGGAGCTATTGCTTGACTCGTTCAAGAAGACGGAGCCGGGCATCGTCTCGCGGCTGCCGGACATGCGGTTCATCGAGCAATACGACCCCGAGGATACCAGCGAGGAGGCGGTTAGCAAGACGCACGCATTCGTCGCGGGGAAGGTGATTACGATGCCGGAGGTCGGGAGTCCAGGGGCGTGTCTGAGCTTTGATGCGGAGGAATTGGTTAAGAGTTCGGCGCTGGAGCCGGATGCGATGGACGCGTTGACCGAGATGCGGGATAAGTATGCCGCTGGGGAGAAGATCGGTTGGTATATTGTTTACAACGGGGATCCGGATCGGTATTTCCCGCCGGATGAGGAGGATGAAGAGGATTATAGCTTCGATGAGGAGGACGAGGACGAGCAGGAGGATGTGCAGATGAATGGGGTTGAGAATGGGAATGGAGCGGCGTCGCGACCGCCATCGACTCCTACGGTAAGTTTTGTTCTTGTTCAGGTTGTTATGGTTGAAGTGATTTGCATGGAGGCTAATATTTTATCTGTATCGTCTAGTCGCTCCTGACTCGATTCTTCACGAAAAAAGCCGCTTGAGATGGCTACATGATTTACGCGAGACACAATGGGATGGTTCAAAACGTTACATGGGGATATGGTTTATCGGTGCGGGAGTATTAGTCTTATGCATTAGCAATATACGGCGTCTTGGTCTGAACATATCATTCGTCTAATTTTTTGCGAAGGCGGAGGCTCTATACATCAGTGGGTGGCTCCGTATCCTCCCTTCTGCCAGTTCGCATCGAACGTGGCCGCATCCACAGCGAACTGTCGGATGTAATCCTTCTCCAGATCGTGCGCTCTTCGGCCTAGCAGCACGAGACTGTGGAGAGGCTGTCCCATTTCAACGGTGCTCAATTCCTTCAGGGTACCCGCGACTAGCTTCTGGTCGGGCGCACCCACGCGCGCAGCTCCGACAGCCAGGCTATCGGGCCCGAACGCACCTTCCTGGCGCTCCTCCTCGGTCTCCAGCATCTGGCTGGCGCACTGCGCAACGGTCATGTAGCGCGGGGGCTCATAGATCATGCGTCCGCGGGCCATGTTCTCGTACGACGGTTCCTTCACCTTGATATCCAGCAGCACCAGCGTGTGCAGACCTATTTGAACGTTCTCTTTGACGCGGTCGTAGTAGGACGACGGTTTCCAGTTCTCGGTGAAGAAGACCATGCTGACGGTCTGGCCGAAGTTGTAAAGCTGCAGACCCGTGCAGCCGATGCCCGACATGATCGATGCGTTGGGGATAACCTTGGATTCGATGCCCATCTCCCGGGCGCGCAGGACAATATCGGAATGCGTCGTGGCGCTGTGTCGTCGTAAGTTTCCTCTGCACAGCACCCAGAGACAATCGAGTCGTATCTTGCAAGGACACCTACCCAAACGGATCTCCCACCACTAGGAAGGCAACGTCGGCCTTGTCGGCTCCGGCAAGGATGTCATCGCTACCGGTCTCGACTAATTCGCGATCTGCCTCGATAACAGGACGTCCATAGAAAGCTTCCTACTGAACCAATCCATCCATAGTTAAAAAAAAACCAGTCCAATATTATACAAGACCAATGTGATCGCGAAAGACACTCACTAGCTTCTCTTTATCCACGAGCAAGATACTCGTATAGGCCTCCAGGTAGACGCGTTCGGCGTTCTTGACCACCTCCAGGCCCCGGACAGTAATGTCCCTCTCATCAGCGAGACCCAGTCCCACAAGGTAAAACATGACGGCGTGCGAGGGTGAAAATAGCAACTCAATGGGAGCGTTGAGGCGATGATGGCAGCCAAAAAGTTTCCGTTATCACCCCACCAAATGCGGGCGGGCGTCGGGATGCCGGAGAAACTGTCGATCCGTGCAGTTATCGCGCCCCCGATCACGGGATGGGGTCCCTTCCATTAACTTCACGTCATGTCTTTGTTCCCTCATTCTTAGCGCGACTTTCCGTTCCGCAGGCACCGTTGTGCGTATATATACGATAATTCTTGAGCTCTGTGGGAGCTGGGTCTTGGTGGAATGTGAGGTTATTGACTTATAGTGCGCCAAAATGTCGAGTGATCGTACCCCTAAATATCGGCAGGAAATCCAGCAGGTAAGCACTTGGATGTTGTTGAGAGAGTTGTTCTGTTTGCCTCTTTGGTCTTTGTTTCTGTGCGATTTGGAGTTCTCGCCTTTTTTCTGAGATTGGTTGCTTGGAGGGATGGGGCATGTTTCATTTCCATGCGCATGGCTGTATGGCTGTACGCAGGGAAGGGTCCATGACTGGACCAACGATGTCGTTGTTTTTTTGGGGACACGTCTTTTACATGTCTACCGGATTTACGTATTTTGACGTGCGGACGGTTCTTTCACCTCCCAGCGATCTCTCACTTGTTGATCCATCCTCGCTCTTCTTTCCTCCCCACATGATCCCAGTCACTTTGACGTGCCTCTCCTTGTCTTATCAAAGACAGAGACGCCATGTCGTCTGATATCAGTGAGGACTCAGAGTCGCTCTGCTTTGATTTCTCAGACTGTGAGACTGTCTCTTCCCAGTCAGAGGTGGAATCCGTCAGTGATGACGATGATGCTACCTTGACTGACTGCAGCTGCTGCAACGAAGAAGACCTGGTGGTTGACTGGGAATCACTCTATCCGGGCGGCTTTATCGGCATCGAAAGATACATGAAGGGAATTTCGCAGGCGGTGGGAACCCAAGTGACCAAGGACATGGCGGGAGGCAGCGATGAACCTCTGGAGACAAAAGCGGAGTTCAAGGACAACCTTGCTAATCGATTGCATCAGATGATGTTCGTCTCTGGAGAGACTGCCGAACCGTCTGTGGAAACTACCACTTTGATTGAGGAGATCGTGCGTCAGCAGGTCGTCGAAATTGTATGCTCTCCCACCCCCGCCAACTACGTTGCAGTCCGCTAACTCAATCCTCGCAGCTCGTTCGCAGCACTGCGTTGGCTACCCGTCGAGGAGTCCGCTCTATCTCGACTGATGACCTGATTTTTCTGATCCGTCATGACAAAGCCAAGGTGTCTCGCCTGAAGACCTTCCTTTCTTGGAAAGACGTCCGCAAGAACGTCAAGGACTCCGACGACAAAGGTGGCGGTGCTGATGCTGCAGACTTCGCCGGTGCCGACGACCCTATCGCTGGCGGCGTCGCCGCTGGTCCGCAAGATGTCGCCGCCAAACCCAAGAACAAGAGGGCTCGAGTCGGTCTGGTTTGGGATGTCAACAGCTTCTACTCCGTGCAGGTTCCCGAGAGAGACGATGAAGAAGACGAAGAGGAAGAGGAGCAGAACTATGCAACTCTGCAGCGTCTGGCTGCCGCCGATGAGCGCACTAAGCACATGACCAAGGAGGAATACGTCTTCTGGTCCGAATGTCGTCAAGCATCGTTCACCTACCGCAAGAGCAAGCGTTTCAGGGAGTGGGCCGGCTTTGGCATCGTGACCGAGTCGAAACCCAACGACGACATTGTTGATATCCTTGGTTTCCTCACCTTTGAGATCGTGCAGACCTTGACCGAAGAAGCTCTCAAGGTGAAAGAACGCGAAGAACGCGAAAAGAACCGCCGTGGAGGAGCCGAGAACGGAACCGGCGAGAGCACCAAGAAGCGCAAGCGCGAGACCGGCCTCTTCGATCCTCCCGAGGAAGGTTGCACCCCCGTGGAACCCAAACATATTCGCGAGGCCTACCGCAAGCTCCAGGCGACTCCCAGCAAGAACATCGCGATGCTTTTGCATGACGGCAAGATCCCTTCGCGCATGCCTTTGAGACTGGTAAGTTGGCTAGCCCATAATCGTTCCAAGAACCTATCCTAACATCTACAGATCTAATGGGCCACCACCATCCACATGTACAACACAATTGGGGTTTTTTTTCCTACGAGACTATGCATTACGATTTGTACGATACTGGTTTTTTTTTTTTTTGCAGGAACACCTTGTTTCCGGCCATTTCAGCGCTCTTGGCGTTCAGGTTTCAAATTTGGACTGTTCAACAGCACCGAGCATAATACCAGGTTTAATTGAGAATACATTAGCTGGATAAAAGAATAATTCCGAAGTTCCGTGACCTCATAACCATTGCGTAAAAATAGTCCTTTCATTAGGCCTTGTGCGTCCGACGCCCTACAAATACCGAATCAGCATCTCTCACAATCGAAAAGAAAAGTAATAGGGGAAAAACAAAAGAACTTACACTCCTCCAACTCCTCCTTCGTAAACTCCCTCAGACTATTAATCGCCGGCACATCGCCCGTCGCAGCGCCCTTGAGCGTCGTGACCGTCCGACCCAACAATCCCTTCCGCGCCGCCATATGCGTCACCGTCTTCGCCTCCAGCCGGATGACCCCAATGCGCGGATCGTTCGGGCTGCCGTCATGCACGCCGTCGCCCAGATCACCGAGCCAGGCGGGCAGGGTAGGCGAGTAGTACTTCTTGACGACGGCGGGGTCGGCGATGATCGAGGCGGTGCCGGAGATGGAGGCCCAGGAGCCGCTGACGGGGTCGAGGAAGGACATGTTGGTTTCTTGCGGGTGGATGGATAGGTCGAGCGTCTTGCCCGAGAAGAGGTTCGTGTGGAAGATTAGGTCGATGCCGCCGTGTTCCTGGTAGGGTTTGTTAGTTATACTGTATCTGAGGATGGGGATTGTGGGTGTGAGGGGCGTACCTTTCCAGCGAGGGCCATGCATCGCGATGTCAGCAGATCCGAATCCGAGGCTTTGGTCGTAAGCATGCCGAACTTCGTCTCGGAGATGAAGTCAACGAGATCCTCGATCTTCTGGACGAGAGGGGGGTCTTCCAGGCTCTTCTCCTTGTAGGGGTCTGCGGACTGGATGTTGGAAGAGGCCATTGTGGAGAGAGTTAGATGCGAATATAGTACTAGAGGGTAGATAGGTAGAATGTGTTCAGATAAATTAGCAATTGAGAGATTCAGCAGACATTGATGGAGCAGCACAGCACTTGGAGCGGAGATGTTATATAGTTGTAGCCCTCTGCCAAGACTGGCGTAGCGGTGACGTCAGGAGCGAACATCCCTCCCACTGCGTTTTCCGGTTCGGCAGGTGATATCATTGGGGTGCTTTGGGACGTGATCGATCGATCGATCGATGGGCCATTGGGTCTGTATCGGATTCTTGTTCCTGAGACAGGGCTTGGTCTTTCGGCATTTACTTGGCTGGGATTGAGGCTATTGGTGGTTATTTATATAATGGGGCCTTAGGTATTAGTGGTGTCACGATGAGTTTTGGTGTTTGCTCATGCTGTTTGAAGAGTTTCTCAGGCTGAATTTTCTTGGTAGAGGATTAAATCGGCTTGATTCTATATCAAATGTCTCCTTTGAGACCCTGACGAATGACAACCACAGTCCCCTTCTTGAAGATCTCCATGGCCTAGCTACATGACCACGAGGAGATCGTTGTCCGAAATACTACTGTACAATTGGAATTGATCCTGAAGACAAAGAAATGAATTGGCCAAATGTCCCTAGGCATGTTCACGTCCCACATTCATGCAAGCCCAACCCCTACAAACGGAGTATAGCAGTGATTGCTTCCTATGCCGTGCTCAGCCACCAAAGGAAACGTCTTTTATTCAGTATCTACAGTCCCTCAGTCAGAAGCTGAATTCACACCCAAGAATGGATCACTGGAACAACACGCCAAACGTAGCAACTTGTTTGCAAGACACCACGGCCTGGATTTGGGTCTTTGTTGGAATACCCCGTCAGCTGGGCTGCTTATGTTGATAGATAGACATGTTGCCTTTGAATATAAATGTGTCAGTTGTTATGGAATTGCATTTGAACAATCTCAAAATATCCTCTATATCATCGTTCAACCCTATCGTCATATCGACATCAAGGCAACAAACCTCGAAAATTGCCCAGACATCTTTCAATCACAAAAGAACTGTGGAAACACGGCATGTGCAACTACTATGCGAACATTTACCACTATTCCGACTGCAAAGACCTATATGATCACTGCATTCATATCTCCTCGCAAGGCGATCCTGAAGAGAGATGCAACACCGGCCCGCATAATCGATATGTCCGGATTTCTGCACCGTGCTATCAATGCAATCCCGTAAGTATCTCATGTAATTCCAGACTCCATTTGAGTGTTCTAGCGAATGACGATCGTGATCAAGAAGCAATACTATACGTCTGAGAGACGATCAACTGACGACACGCCCGAGCTACAATCACCGGAGTCGAGCGAGTCAGAGCCGGACGAGCCAGAGTGTGATGAATCTGACGGCTTGTATGGGGACGCATGTTGCGAATTCGACATCGCATGGAATCTGCCAGCCGCGCTCGACGGTGAGGACGACAAGAAAATCTTCCTTTCAGAAACACAAACCTTAACGAGGACCAAAGATAGGGTGAAGGTTATGATGTGTCAAGACTACATCCTGGAAGAGCATGGGGATATGGGGCTCGTGCTTCTGGAAAACATTTTCAGCGCACTACAAAGCCCTAACAACTCTTATGGTGATCTTTAAACGTTTATAAAAATAGCAAAGAGTGTTCTAACAGCATCTTAGAGGACAACTCGATGGAAATCCGCGCCTCCTACGAGATGATTTATGTTTTGCTTCCCAGACATCTGTGCTATCTCATGGATATGCTTCTCTGGCTCTGCCTGTCCTTCGTGAAAGCAGACCCCGGATCAGTATATATCTCAACAGCGGCAATAAGCGAAGAATCCCTCACCCTGATGCCCCTGCAGCCAATCGAGGAGACGGACCAACATGCCAGCAAAGAATACTGGCATGCCATGTTTGACGGTGTTGTCATAGCCCAAGATCCTCGCCTCGAAACCCAGCCGTGTCTCTGGCTAGAGTTGGACTTTAAGCTGCTGGAGCAGCTATCGAGAGTGACGGACACTGGTGTGTACGACGGTGGCCTCCTTCTGACAGGCCCATCCTCGACACTGACTCCGCTTCAGGAGTTAGATAACTATATCGTTTGGAAATTCGATATTGTGAACGTTTTTGAGCATGGTGGTCTGGGGTTGCAGACACCGTGGATGCGAACTCGTTCATTGCATCAATTACGATCAAAGAAAGCGCTGGTGAGCTGGTATCCCCAGCTGAGGGGAATGTTACTGCAGACAGAGCACGGTTCGTGGGTCTTACAAGGAAATCATTTGCTATACTGGAATGCTTACGTGAAATACAGATTGAGTCATATTAAGGAACTTCCAGATCCTTAGGGTTTTTAATGGGGTGGTTAGGGCGGATTGAGTGATGAGGGGGACAGGTGAAGGGGAGACACGGCGTGGGAAAAGATGGAAAGAAAAACAGAAAGGAAAAATGATGGGTCTAAGTTTTGAAGAGGAATATGGTGATCTTGAGCGACTATAAACATATGGAACATAGAAACACCCCAGATGGAAATATAATGAATTGGAGAAAGCTTATGGGAGAAGTTAGTGGTTCGATGCATTACAACACAACAAATTCGTAGACACATACGGAGGTCGAGGAAATCAACCGATATCGAACACAACCGAGATAATTATATCCATTGAATCATTCGAAACGCCCAGAGCATTACTGATAACCGAACATCTAGAATCCACCGTGACAGAGAGCTTATCTGACTTTACCTGCGGGCTGATCTCGACCAAATCCATCGCAACCAAGTTTTCTGTCTGATGGAGCCGCTTTGCAATATATCTGCTTTCCTCAAGAGACAGCCCTGGAGCAACTGGAAACTTCAAAGCCTTAATCCCGTATTTCTCGATCGTCTCTTTCTCTGCCTCATCGACATTCCTTAACCCGATATAAACAAACCTCTTCAAATTGATCATATGCTCATTTTCAATCCATCCAAATGCTTCATACTCTCTACCAGTTACCTCAACTAGTTTAAATAATCCAGAGACAAAAGCAACTGGCATGCCATGAATCCGTCCACTTAGACTAGTCTCGGGGGTATTAATATCGGCATGTGCATCGATCAAAAAGACCGCCATCTCGGAGCCCGAGAATCGCTCGCGAATAGCCTTCGCAGTACCAGAAACAGTGCCGATACCGATGGAATGGTTTCTGCCGAGGGTTAACACAAAGGAACCCTGTCGAGTATGCTCGTACAATTTCTGGTTGATATGTTGAGCGGCGGTGCTGACGGCGCGAGGACGTTTCATGTGATCGATATCTGGGGGAGATGACGGGACAGGTCCTCTCTATGTGTTCCACGATGACAGGCTGGGGCTTCTTGGATTGGATTTTGTCGAAGATGCCGGTGTTGATTATTGCGGAGGGATCATGTTGGGCGCCGTCTCGGGGCTGGCTTTTGTGTCGAGAATCTTTCTTTTATAATAGGAGTTCATATATCACATGGATAAAAGAGCTCTAAGACATGATCGCTTCAAACAGCCAAACTCCAGAAACCAAATGAATGCAATCGACAAATGAATCCATAGTCACATCAACAACCGGCCTGACCTTCCTCTCTCCATCGCGAGACCCTAGCCTGGAGATATTTTGACACAGCAGCGGCCACGATAAAGCCATTAATCAGAACTCCGACTGCACCTCGAAGAATACCCTCATAATGTCGACAAGAATTGACTTCATATAAGCACCGACAGCCTACCACGAACCCAAGTAGGTAAATTATGAGGTAAATGACAATGGTCTAGCATGTTAATTAGATTTGTAGCGGAGAATGAGGGCGACAGAAGGACGTACTTGACATAATGGTTATCGATAAATCGAATAACTGGTCGCAAAAAGGGTGAGTGATCGTCCAGGTTGACATTTGCGAGGCGAGGACGAGACATGAGTCATCGTGACGCTGTATGGAAGTTTGAAAGGGGACAGATTCGCTATTAAGAAAGGTCTTGGGGGCGAGAAATGGGCCGGTGCTAATTTTGTTCGGGTCCACCACCGATCCAGGCGATCTGGAACTAGTCCCAGAATTTGGGACATCTTAAGCGTTCGGAAGATATCATCCTTCTATAATTCTATACGACAAGATCAACAATTGCATAGAGTGATGAGTTTCTGACGCCAAACCGGACCTTCAAATGTATCTATTATCTGAATAACAAGGTAAAATGTAAACAGCAAACCATTGATAAGACATTAATGAAGCATAGATCTATATGGGCTTTTTTTATTGGACGTTGTTGTATTCCCTCTCATCAGGGGGAATGACAACGGATTTCATGGGGTTTCTCGGCCATTTCGTGAAATCTCCCGCTTCGTACAGAGATCTCCGGAACTTGCCTTTATCGGAATTGTTGATGGCTCTGGTTTCCCTGCTGTTAAATGGCGAATGTAATCAGCTGGATGCGTCAGAAAGTTCATTACCAGTTGATTGATGAGTAAATAATTACCTCGCTCTACCACTCTTTTCGTAGCGAAAAGAAAGCTTCTCTCTACAACCACTGACCCATACTCATTAATCCTCTCCTCAGCCCCCGGCAAGTCATCTTTGAGCATATAGACCCAAGTCAAGCTACACACCGTTCCCAGAATCACTCAAAATGGCTCTTAGAGACAATCCGTTGATCCTTCCCATTTCCCCTATCGAGGTAGCATATGCCTCTGCCAGACCTAGAGTTTTGCAGGTTCATCCCATTGTCTTACCACCATCCTTTCCGACAAAGTCGCGGATTACAAGGTATTTCAGAGCTCACATCCGACGTCAGGAAAATCTGCCATGAGGAACAGGTGAAAATGCTGGAGGTCAGCTTCTACGATCGACGGACTAGGAATAGAGAAACCGAGAAATGGGGTTATGGCCCAGTTAGTGAGGATGAAGAGGACGATGTGACTCTTACCTGTATTGTTTTCGCCCAAAAGTCAAACGTCGATAAGAAATGGATCAATATTGCACGCAAAGCGTACCGATTTCTGGAGGAAAAAGGATTGAATAATTTCCGTGTTGAGATTATCGATCTAGGACTATCAAAGATCCACGTATACCCGAGCCCGTGCAGCCCTCAAGATGCTATCTACAGTCAATGGGGTGAGATTTGCCGCGAATTCTTGAAGAAGATTTCGCTAGAAGGGATCAAAGCTGTCGGCTGCTACCGCCTTGGAGCCGGTTATGATGTGTCAAATTACGCCCCAAATGTCATCGTGGACGTTCATCCCAACGAGACGAGGGATTGGAAAGTTGTTCGAGAGGAGATTTTACAAATCCTCATTCGGCATGGTATCAACATGGTGGGTGTGTTCATACGAAAGGCCACCGGCTTTACTAGATGGTTCAGTCCTCCCAAAATCGAGAAGCTCAGGCCAGATAGAGCAGCTCATATCGGACAGAGCTTAAGTCCTAATAAATTAACTCTTCAAAGGGAACCCTGGGGGGATATATCCAGCTGAGAAACCCCATCCGCGGAGACTGGGATACTTTTGCTCTCACCTGTTGCCGTTGCGTTTTACCAACGAAGGAACAGATTTCACCGAAAGAGGCACGGCGTAAGTTTTCATCTTTGACTTTTTTTTTTTTTTGGAGGATGAAGATACTGAGCTTTCTATAGTTTTTGACAAATGGAGGGACTTTGGAGTTCAGGTTACTGACAAAGATGCTGGCGCCATTTTGCTTGTTGATAGTCCTTCTCAGGAAGAGCTGACAACCAAGATCAAGGGGCTGGAGAGATGTGCTAATGATTATCAAAAATCGATTAATCGTCTACAGGCTCGGACCGACGAAGACGTCGTCGATGGTGACGATTCGCGGGATGAAGAATGCAAACAGATGCAAGAGTCGATCTCCTTGCTGCACCAGGAATGTGACGATTTCAGAAGCCTGTACAAGAAAGAGTCATGTGTTCTGGGTGCAGTTTTTGCAGCCTCTGGCTTGGTGCAGAAGCCTCTCGCAACCATTCACAATATGGATCCGACAGCATCTCTATCCATGATCGATTGGGCACTTATTAAGATAGAGAAACGTGCTCCCGGAACAAACAGCGTAAGAAGTCCCCTGTTTTTGAGATTGTTAAAGGCGCTCTAACAGAAGAACTACTAGTCTCCCAATCTCCCTGAATTTCACCAGAAGCTATCATGTCTCGCAAGAGATGGCTATATTCAGCTCGGTAAGCGGCTAGGGAAATTTGGCCATGCGACTGGTCACACTATGGGCACGTACGGCGGGCTTGTAGAAGCACACATCGCTAAAGATCACAAATCCGGGAAATAAACAATCACTTACGAGCATAGTATCCGGAGCCTCGATACTATTAGAGATCTCTTTGCCCCTGGTGATGAGGGCACCCTTGTGTATGATCATATTGGACAGGTTCATGGCACGTGCCGGGGCGGAAATCTCAACGGAGACATTGCGTACTTTACGCATATCGCCGATTTGACCGCCGATATCAGACAGGAGATACCAGGATTGCAAAATATACGAGTGCTTGGGTCTGAATTTTGATTCAGATGCTCACAGATTGATGATACAGCAGATAGTTGTTGGTCTTGGATCTCGATAGGGCTTTATACTAACCTGGCAGCTTACAATTAAAGCAGCCGCGGAGGCCAATCAATCAATCAATCTTTAATTTGCTTAATGATACCTAGCTATTCATGGTTGCAACTATATGGGTCTTTTATCCATCTAAAACAAAAACATAGGCCTGCATAGAACCTCTAAAATGACCTGGAAACGTCGGAAAAAAAAGAATAAATAAAATAAAATAAGCTCATGCCATGTAATGTACAATTTCAAGCACACTTGGCTCAGATCATCCATATATCGGCTCATAAAGGTGACATCTCCGATTCATATCCTTCGAGCTAACCGCCCTCAAAGCCTTCTTTCCCTCTTCATTCATGCCCTCTTTCACGCCATCCCCAAACACCCCGACCGTGGGAACCCCCTTCCATCCTGGCCCTCCAAATGGGTCTTTGGCAAAGTCCGCCCATGCCTTCTGCATAGCCTGACTGACTTTAGCTTGGAATTCGGTGGCCCCATTCTTCTCATAAGTGCCAAAAACCAGGGGAATTTCAGCCATGTGGTATGCCCCGCTACCAGGGAATAGTTCGTTATTAGGAAAGCTAGCGTTGAAGAAATACCTCCAAGCGGGGATATCTACTTCCAGATTGTCATCGGCGTAGAACTTCATCGGGCAGTGCACACCCAGGTCGTTGGCGATGAGATTAAGCCGGTCATTCTCAGTGTGCGTACCGGGTTGCCCGAGAGGATACGCTTTGATCAGCGTGTCTGCGAACTTACCCAGCCCGAATCCTTCGAGGGTCTTGCGAGTGTCGTTAGCTCCGATGAGATAGGGCTTTGCCTCATCTGCGTTGTTGCCGAACAAAACCGGGACTCGCGCGATAGTCGAGCTACCCTCGCTGGAATGGAGTCTGTCTTGTCGCGGCGTGTTCGACATCGTGACGCCCACATCAGGAAGAGGTCCAAATGGCAGATCGGCCGTTTCAAGAATCCTTTTGATCTTCTGAGCAGGGAGTTTGCGAAGACATTCGATAGCGCCATCCGCAGAGCAGTGCGTCAGGTTGAGGAGTTTCTTCCATGACTGGCGGTATGATCCTGCCTTATCGTCTAGAGGGGCTACAATTGACCCCTGATTCGATTCTATGATTGCTGCACGGAAAGAGAGTGGATTGGGGGGCGATGTGATAAGTGTATCGACGCTGCCTCCGCCAGCGCTCTCGCCAAAGATAGTCACTTGGAATGGGTTGCCTCCGAAGCCGGCAATATTACGTTGCACCCAGTCTAGGGCGAGACGTTGATCCAGAAATCTAAATCAAGAGTCAATACTGAGCCGGTGCAAGTAATTAGGGATGCCCCCCTACCCCAGATTCTTTTCTTCTTCGGGAACACCACTCCCGGGGAATCCAAACACATTCGTCCGATAGTTAAATGTCACTACCACGACGTCCTGGTTGGCAACAAGACTCGTAGCATCATAGATCGGCAGAGCGGAGCCCCCGTTAATAAAACCGCCGCCATAGATCCAAACCAGCACAGGCTTAGACCCTGCCGACGCGTCCGCCGGAGTAAAGACATTGAGGTTTAGACAGTCCTCGCTCTCCCCGCCTAAGGGGTCCCCAATGCCAACCATGTCGTAATAGTCTTTCGATTCTTGATTCATCATTTGAATGCAGACTGGTCCCCACGTGGTTGCGTTGCGCATTCCGGGCCATGGAGCCACAGGCTTGGGGGGACTGAATCGGACCGGCGGCGCAGCGAACGGAACGCCCAAGTATTGTCTCACAACGGCTGTCGAATAGGGCAGGGAAGTCGTTGTTCCAACGATGGCGCCTGAATCGATAATAGCAGTAGGCAGTGACTCGGCGCCCGGTGTAGCCAAGCCTGCAGCGAGGCTGGCGACACTGAGAAAGTGAAGTGAGCGCATTTCAATGTCAAACGGACTGGGTAGGACTCAGTTGGAAATCAGTGGAATTAAAATCACCGACGAGATGCGTCGATCGAGCATCTTATATCTCTGCCATCAGCCATGAGCTATTACTAACTACCAGTAAGGCTGCTGCCTAACTGCACTCTTGAGTCGCCTACATCCGTGTGGCTCAGCCTTGCAGCCCCTCCGCCAAGGTAACTGGGTCCTGGCAGATTCAGTCCAACGTAAGAATGAATGATGCATCTTGCAGAGCAAAGCACGGAAAGGATCGTCGTATCTTTGGAGCCTGATCAACCTGGCATCTGAGCTAGCCGCTTTGGGATAGACGCTTGGCCAAGAAGGGAATCAGGCATCCAATAGGCATGGAATTACTGCCTGACCATCCATCAGTATGCACAACTTATGGTATTCATAACAACAAAACGTGACAAAATTGATGGTAATTAGCTTGGAGTTGCTTGGGGGAAACAATTGTTTCTACATAAATGGTTTGAATGAGCTCAATAAATAAAACGCATCTACGAATACTGTTAAATTCCAATATCCCGGACAAACAAGCAGATGCCTTCTAGGGTTACTCGACATTAATCTATTAACTTTTCTGTGCCACGATATCTTGTAGTTTTCTTAGAGAAGGGCTATACATAATGAAATGATGACTATAAAATTCAACATTTGCTCCTTCGCAGCACTCCCGGAATAAGTACAAAATCCCGGGGATTGCAGGTTTATATATTTTAGTCATCTGCCAATAGGTTGCTATTCATATACTTGAGCCCGGTATCACACGCCACAGTGACCACCTTCTTCCCTGGCCCCAAACGCTTCGCGAGATCCACTGCCGCGACAACATTCATACCGGTAGAAGTGCTCACTAGGAGCCCTTCTTCCTTTGCAAGACGACGGCACATCAGCCTCCGGAACAGCGCGGGCTTCATCGTAGAGGCTATCATCGAGATGAGGGGGGCGGAACCCAATTCCAATCCCCTCGACGCCATGCGTCCCCGTCCGACGCTCCGTGATAACCGGCGACGAAGCCGGTTCGAGGACAACGACATGAACATGAGGCCACTTCGACTTTAGAACCTTCGAAGAACCCATGACCATGCCCGCGCCGCTAACGGTCCCGCAGAAGGCGTCAATCCCCGAGGGAATCTGCTCTAATAACTCCCGGCCTATAGCTTCGTACCCGACAAGGGCATCACGGTTATTGAACTGCGCCGTGGAATAGTAGCCAGGGTCTTTGGCAGTCTCCTTAGCCTGCTCAACCATCGAGGGGATTAGATCGGGCGTGATTTTCCCCGACGATTTAGACGAGCTTCATAGACCGGTCCTTGTTTCCGGAAGGCGTGGGTCTCCTGAATACATGCAGATATCATGACAAGTTTTAAGTCAGAGGTCGCCCGCCAGCACGGGTGAATACAACCCGGTTCTTCACAGCCAGCAAATCGTTCTGAATAGATCACGCAAAAGCCGTAATTTTCATTGTCGTTTAGGATATTGATGTACTAACGGCCGTCCTAAGCGCCCGAATAATCCAATTGAGTAGGTTTGCCGCAATTATAGACGGACTCTAAGGAGAACGAGCAGATCACAGCTTACATTTTATACGATATACCTCGGCTCTGCCTATCATGCCTGAGCAGTTAAGGTCATCATTGTGTTTTTGGCCCTTGACAAAGGAACTCTTGGGTGTGGTCATACTTTGATGAGATAATTGCAGGCTAACTAACAATGTTTGTGCGCCAACAGTTGAATATAACACGTCGTCCTGTATTGTAACATGCTACGAACTTGATTGCGGGGAAACATTGATAAGACCATATATTTTCAGCATCGCATTTATAGCCAGCCTGGCTAGCTCAATCGGTAGAGCGTGTGACTCTTAATCACAAGGCTGCGGGTTCGAGCCCCGCGTTGGGCTTTACTTTTTGCTTTTTGGCTCAAATGAATTTGAGTAATTCTTTGGGTGCGAGTGGAGAATTTCCACGGACCGGGGAAGCAATAAAAAAAGCAGCTGCGTGAGCGTTATCTATTTGTTGCACGGGTCATGACCGGGGGCGTAGCAATTTGGATCAAGACCGTTGTATTCTGTTCAGTGATGGCCTATTTTGTCTTCAGATGCTTAATGTAACCCTCAGAGATATAATAAGCCTTACGCCAATGTCAACAACCCTGATCGCAAGGATCATCAAGAAGTTGACCTGAAATCATCCCCACCACACTTAGAAGAGCTCCCAGATAGTATTATAGAAGCAACGGCTTTCTTTGCATAGCCACCATAAGCTGATAGAACAATGACAATTAGCCTTGGGCTCTTAGATCTCACTATGAATGCCTTGTTTAATTGCTTACGCCGCAGACCGCGTGATTGCTAGGAGTTCCAAAAATGAGGTGGCTCATTTTTTGTATCTACTCTTTTCGTCGTCAGGGTTGATCAGTCTGAAAACCTCTCTGCAGGGGCAATTGTCGAGTCATGCAATGATTCAGGTGAGCGCTTGATGTTACCTTGCCAACTATCCATATACAACCTGTTTCTGGATTGGTCCATGCTGTTTGTGACAATTTCAAATTTGGTGGTTGAGCGAGGCTGTTTTCTAGAGGACATGCACGGGACTTGTGAAGCCCTAGTTGATGTGATGCACTATACAATGTGCTGGCTAAGGATATGCTAGGAATTATACCGGGAGCAGCAAATGTCATGGTAACAAGGTATACAATTGATTATAAAAGTTAGGTCTAGCGAGATCCACGGCTCCCCTTTGTTATTAATTCCCTGCTTTTCTTCCCCCACCGGATGTTTCGATGGGATAATGCAGTGTAATAAAACAGTCTGTCAACCTTAGCCAGAAGCTAGTAGTGGATTGCTCGTGGCAACAGAAATCTCTCATTAATCTTACCCCATTCAAGTGTGGAATCAACCGTTCGGGCATAATCTATCGACGCGATCGGCCGCCGGGTAGGTGGAGACGAACGGGGTGCGGGCCTTGAGACCCCCCCCCCCCCCGACCAATAGTACGAACTACGAACAGCATTCCTGTTGGGCTGTGGTGGCATAAGGCTAGAAATTAGGAAGAGCTGGGATAGAGTTGTGATCAAGAGCGAAGGAAGGCGAGTGGGACCTCTGATTCATTATGATCGGAGTTAAAGATCGGAAATTAAGGCTTCATTTGTAATGTCCTCATTTGTAATCATTGCTGTTTTTAATTTACTTTCTAGTTGGATGGGATGCGTATCCTTGTCATTTTAGAGACTGTTATTATATAGGATGGCCGTTAATCTATGTAGTATTCTCAATCGGTTTTAATTTTCAATAAATTCACTTTAGAGCCTATACCTCAATTCCGCTTGTCTCCCTCCCTTCCCAAAAACAAGCGGCTGTCTGTATCAATTGCCATCATGGTTGTTTTCGACGCAACTGCGAGCAGTGAGGAAGTCACCAGTGCTTTTTCCCACGAGATCAAGGGTCGCACATTTCTGATCACCGGAGCCGGCCAGCCCAGCATTGGCAGTAAGATGGCCACTTCTCTGGCCAAGTTTGGCCCGGCACATATCCTCATCGCCTCACGAACAGCCAAGAAAGTGGAGCCGGTGCTCGAGGAAATCAATTCCTTCGACTCGTCCGTGAAAACTACCTTCGTGCAGGTCGATCTGTCCGACCATGACTCCGTGCGTCACGCCGCCAAAGAGATCCTGGCCGCGGCGCCCAAGATCAACGTCCTCATCAACAGTGCGGGGAACATGGCACTGAAGGAATTCACTGTCGACAAACAGGGCATTGAGCTGCAGTTGTCAGGAAATCATGTCGGTCATTTTCTTCTCACGAACTTGCTCGTTCCCGCTCTGGTCGCAGGAGCGGCCGAGGCCGGTAATGCTCGCGTCGTAAATCTCACGAGCTCGGGATATCTGATCAGTCCGGTACGTTTCGAGGACTGGAACTACTCTGGCGGCATGGATTATGATCCTTGGACTGGATATGGGCAGGCAAAGTCCGCGAATATCTTGTTTGCGTACGGCCTGACCAAGAAGCTTAGGGCTCGCGGCATCACGGCGGCAGCAGCGCACCCTGGCTACAACGGTGACACGGAGCTGGGTGCCCACCTAACATGGGACGACTATGTCGGGATATTCCCAGCCACGAAAAAGAACACCGGGCGGGACTTCGAGTTTGAGGAGCCTCGATTCAAAAACTATACACAGATTGCCGCTACCCCCCTGATCGCTGCGCTCGACCCCGAGCTACCTGCCAAATCTCCTGTTTATTTGCAAAACAGCCAGGCCACAGAGCCAGGGGCAGACTACGTCCGAGATGATGAGAGCATTGAAAAGCTCTGGAAACTCAGCGAGCAACTTGTTGGCGAGAAATTTGAGTATTGAGCACTATCTACCAGGAGATAGTTTTTCAACGCCAGTAGAACAGAGTCATTGTTAGATGTGTGGAGAGTCCGAGAGGTTAAACAACAATTTCCCCATCTCTATAAAGCCATTTTGCTAGTGTGACTTGAAGAATCATCCTGTCTGTTTAGCTGTTTGGTTCGAATATACAAAGTGATTTTATCAAAGCAATTGTTTTCTCCGATCACATGATAACTTCCAATTGACTAGATGACTAGCAATGAGACAGGGGTCAAGCCCACATTGTGGCAAGTGTCTAGTATTGATTTGGAATGGCGTACTGCGCAGGTATAAGCGCCAATGGCTGAGATTGCCAAGAGGAGTGAGAGGCGTGAGCCTCTCAGCCTCGTTTGTTTGCGACCACATTTCACCGATAATCAAAGTATTGCAAACCGTAGTTCTCGATCCTGGAGAGCTTATCAAACCTAATGAGCGACTCTAAACCGAGCGTTCAGTTCTACGATGATCATTTTAGTCACGGAATACTTGAGATAGAATCAAGTAGGCCAGGGGGGCCTTTACGGCGACGCAAAAGGGAGCAAAAATGGACTAGAGGAAAGCGCCTCGGTCGAGGCTCCTTTGGGGATGTTTGGCTGTATAAATGCAATGAGTTCTCTAGGGCGAGACTACAGGCCGTCAAAATAATTCCTAGACTGTCTCACTCGACTCAGGCTATTGATTACACGCGAGAGCTGGAAGCCATTTCAAGTTCTCACATCGGAAGGTCAGCTAGCTTTTGCCATCCACACATCGAAAAGAACCGAGAATGATGATTGATTATAGTATGAGGGTCTATTTGTGGAATCATTCGGGTGGTTTGAAAACTTACATTCCGTGTTTGTGGTAATGGAGTATATCGAGCTGGGAGACCTACAGCAGCATCTTGAGCAGCCGTTGAGAGAGATAGAATCTCAGCAGATCTCATTTCAATTTCTCGAAGGACTAGAGCACATACATAGCAATGGGTTCGCGCATCGTGATCTGAAGCCAGCAGTGAGTCATTTACAATATAGCAAACTGAAGCAGAACTAATTGCGCAGAATGTCTTTGTTATGCAGAAAAATCCACATTAGTGGGTGAAAATTGGCAATTTTGGCGTTAGCAAGCACACAAGAGAAAGCGATTCAGCATTCTAGACCCTAACGGGGATACCGGAATTCTGGGCCCCCCGAGGTTAACATGGCTCTTGGGAGAGGTAATGCTCAGTATACTCAGACGGTGGACATTTGGACATTTGGGGTCATGTTGCACTATATACTTACAGGAATTTTACCGTTTAGCAAACACATTAAACTACAGCGGTATATTCAAGACGGCCAATTCCCTACCACAGCCTTGAGCACCCACCATGCCAGCTCTGATTGTCAAAAGCTTATACAAGCATTGGTGGTCATAGATCCTGCTGCACGTTTATCCGCAAGAGACGCGTTACAGCATGCGTGGATCCAAAGTTTTTCGCAATAGTCTTATGTCGACGCTCGAGGGCCATAGATAGGTAAGCATTTCGCGTTTTGAATCAGATATTTGGGCTGATGGGGAATAGAAGGGAACCGCCAAGACAGTCGACAAGGTACCGATGAATATACCTCCTGGCTGACGCGGTCTTATGAGCTTTCAAGCAGCCGTAATGACACCGCAAGCCCTATTGGGAAGGATTCCAGTTCAAAAACCATGACAGTGGCATCGAAGAAAAGCGAAAGCGAGGAAATCATTCCACGTCCTCAAGAGGACTATTCTTATCTTTTCTCCAGGGGCGAAGCAGCTTTGCGAAGGACGTGATATAGCAAGGCCCAAAGAATATTCCGCGATGTGTTCTATAAACGCCAAGCAACATGGGAATCGGTCACCTGCTGACTCTTGATTCTATTCATTGTTTGGGCGTCTCTCTCTTCGAAGAGATTGGGACAAATGAGGAGGCCGAAAAAATGTTTCGCCAGGCCTATGAAGGGCGAAAGGCCAAGTTAGGCACTCTTCATGAAGACATTCTCCGGTCACTGTGTTTTATAGGCAAGACTTTATTGTCACGAGAGCTTTATAAAGACGCCCAAGACCCTCGATGGACGGCATACATAGGACTAGATAAGGTACTTGGATCAAGAGTCTCGCGAGACTCTTGATTGTGTCGACAGCCTGGGATCTTGCCTAGACAAGGAAGTGATGAGGTTACTTGGAAAACTCTATAATGGTAACAAGAAGAGATATCCCATCGGTACAATTTCAGGTTATGCCAACGTCCCTCCCATTGCGGAGACACTTGCATGGTCTTTGAAACAGGTGGAGAGATACGACGAAGCAGCAGATGTCTATCGCGAGGTAGCAGAATACCACACTCAGAAAGCCTACACCCAAACAGTGAAATTTAGTCTTCCAATCGCCAGCATGTACAGGTTAAAGTCTCTTCATAACAGGGCCAATTGTCTTCTCGCCGGAAAACAGTTCAAGCAGGCAGAAATTCTATTTTTTGATGTTCACAAGCAGGAAGACAAAGAATACGGCTCTGATGGTTATTACGTTGGTGACTCTGCGCATGGCCTGGGAGCATCATTGCAAGGGCAAGGGGAGATGAAAAAATCCGAGAAGATGTTTCGCAAAGCATACAAAAGCCGACGAATAGTTCTAGGGAACGACCGTGAGCTTACGCTCAAATCATGGCGGTGCATGAACGAAACAGTATCCGGTCTCAGGAAGTTTATGAATCGTCTTTCCAAAAACTCTTGAATTAAATAGTTCCAGTTTCGATTGTTCCTTGATTTTATTTCTTCTGAGATATTCGAAGGCCGTCATTTCTTGACTCGCCATGTCATATAGTACCAACACGTATGAATTTTTCTTTCTTCGGGGCATTACGTACACACAGGTATCGATGTGAACCCAAATTGGTAGGTAGTCAGAATAGCCAATAATAATTGAGAAATTGGCCGTCTACCCCACAGCGCTAGGCTCCATTGGGATTAGACTTTAGGGCCTGAGGCATCAACTATGAAAGTGTAGAATAGGAGCTATCAATTGGCCTGGATATATACGAGATAATATTATTTTAACAGAGTTATGCAGACATACACTGTCACACTGTCGGGGAATTGAACAATAGAAGCGTTGATTGTTTGTACTGTGTACTGTACCCAATAGTAATCAAGCTCTGTACATCGAATCAAGAGGAAAACGATAGCTTTTTCCTACAGAATTTTAATATTAAGGAAGAATAGAATCTGCGAGCGTTACATCGACCACTGAATTCTACTCTATCCAATTCTAGCACTACTTCAGGTGTAATTCAAGAATTTAATTCCAGATATACCCAAATCGTGAGCACGAAAATATATAAGGTTACGCATAACATGCACGCTGCGTATATTCAAACTGCGTACTCCGAGTATAGTTTTAATCGGAGAACAGTGGAAGGATCCACGGGGCTCATTCCTCTTGTTCCATGCCAGGAACTTATCATACTGAATACTGCAGATAGCTGGTTGTGCTAAACAATTGCGCGTTGTTGGTAGCCATTCTCGCAGAAGTGGAAGAAAGAGCGGAGGCATGCAGGTAAGAAAGAATGTGCCTTCACCACATCAGGGAAAGGGGTAGATAAAGTGGGCCACAGTGCCAATGGGCAGGACTGAGGAATTGGGCCAATCAAATCGAACAGAAAGCACCCATCTCACGTAGTTTATGGAGAATTAATGTTCCGAGGTCTCGGTTCAGCGATCCACAAATTCCCTCTCCTAACAACCAGTGTCCTTGGGCTGGTGAGCGTGTGCCCATTGAATCATAAAAATTGTCTATACACTTTGATAAGCATTGCCCTGCGCTTTAAGGGAGACCAAAACAAATTTAGCACGATTTTCTGTTTCTAGAGCTCTATTCTATTTGCCATAATATTTTCTTATCGTTCAACTTGCTGCACATGGGCATATCTATTCACAATGGCACAAGAACAGCACTACATTCTTCCACCGGACATGCTCCAGTCCCAAATTTCCATGGTCGACTTGTTAACCGCCATGTTCCCGTCTCCGGGAGAGGTTGAAATTCCCGAATCAACATCTCAATGTGTGGAGAAACTGCGGCAATGGTGCGAAGATCCCACGTTACCACTGCCCACAGGGATTTCTGCCAGCATATACCTGACAGTCTGTTTACCAATTGCAGATGGAGAGAAGTCCGTCCAAGTAAATCTGTCTATCCCTCTCCAAGCAAAGGATACGGATGATCTGGACCAACCGCCACCAGCAAATTACTCAGTGCGTCAGCCGGATTGGATATCCAAGGCCGAACTAGCACAATTGACGGCAAAGATGCCGCAAGATGATGCGCTTGAAACATTCGAGTACGTGCAAGAGAAGCTCAACCGTTTCTTACAGATGCAGAAACAACAAGAAGCGCGGGCCGTGTCAGAAAGCAATGCTGGCTCTGGCCGGGGAGGGCCGATAGTACGGGTCTGGTTCTATTTCCCGTCTCTATCAACGAAAAAGAAGAGAGATGACATGGTCAATAATGCGCCGGCATATTCTCTCACTGGATTCGTCCTGGCAGGGAAACCGGGTGTGCTATGTCTAGAGGGAGAATCAACCGATATTGATTCTTACATGAGCTTCATCAAGACACATTCCTGGGGAGATATACCCAGCCACCAAAAGAAGGTTAGCGAGAGATTCCGTGAGAAGGATGACGTGGAGAGAGTGTTTGATGGTATGGAGGAGATCACAGACTCGCTGGGTGAGCGCGGTGGCCAGAGGGCCAATCGTGGGGATATGCAGGCTTTGGAGGCGTGGTTGGGTGCACGAGGGTTACAAGAGGCATTTGAGAAAGTCATATTTTGAATTCTTCGTGGGATTTTAAAATAAAATCAAAGAGGAGCCCTGGTGGCTCAACAAACCAGGCAGTAGTTTCGGTGCCTTGAATCTTTTATTTCGCCACCTGACAGGTTTATTTACTAGAACCAACGGCAGGATGAATTCGACATATATAAGGCTTATAAATAGTGGATCCTAAGATATGCAGGTCTTGCATTGTTGAATTCATGCCAAAGTCCACGGGACTGCTTGGCCGAACCGTATCATTGTCAGAGCTAAAACTTCCAAGCTTGACATTTGACGTAGTCTTTCCGCTCTCAGCAGCCAGCAAACCATTGCGGTCCATGAAAACTCTGATAACAGTGGTTGGTCTAATTACATTATCATGCAATTCTTGCGAAAGCGCTGGGTTAAACATATGATGCAAGTGAAAGTTCAAGAACGGAGAACACAAACATTCCTAAATGCTGAATATCTGTTGGCGTTCGTGCTTAGAGTTCCGCACCCGTTTCAACTTCCAAAAGCTCCATATCGAGATGAATTAGCTATCTTCTGATTTGAGTTAAAACTACCATAAAGTCAGAGCATGTCGCCCGTTAACGTGCTCATCTGACATAGAATAACAGGAAGCAACTCCTTGACCAAGATAAAAATAGTTCATTTTAAAGTTTACTCAGACGAAATGGGGTTCCAATCGTATCGCGATTCATGAAAAGCAATAAGAATGAATGTTCCAATATTTTTCCGTGTTATAATTTTAGATAGAGCCATGAATAAGTTTTAACAAAGACGAAGCAAAGACGGTGTTATATATCTCTCTCGAAGAGATCTAATTTTTCTTTAAGATATGTGTTTCTATTAGCAAATAATGCCGGAAATAGGAACCTCGTCATCTTATCACCCCCAAGGTACCATGAATCCAACCAGCGGGCGGCCAAGGTCCTTACGGGCAAACATACAATAAAGCGACATATTCTTGCAGAGTTTCAGTAAGATAAAATGTATGTGACGATATATGAGGGAACATGGACGCTAAGAATTCTACCACTTGTCAATCCAGCGAAAATGACTCTGTTTCATATGCAGATTCACGCATCCGAAAAACGTGAGTCCTTATTCAACCGTCGTCGCCTTGGCACTGACAGCCTACTGACGATCAAAAAGCGCTGATTTCCGAGTCCTTCCACTCCTCGTCATATGTTTTGCAACATATCAGCTGGAACGGACGAATATCGCCAGTGCGTTGACTGGAGGACTCGCAGACACGATCTCTGTGAACCAAAACACAATAAACCTTGGTAATCAGTTGATGTTTTTGGGAGTAGTTATATTGGAGATTCCTTCAAACCTTATACTTCAGCGAGTCAGTGTGATCTGATTTAAATATGAAGTTTCAATGCAAATAATCTGACTTGGAGAGTAAGTAGGTCGGGCCAAGAAGATGGATAAGTGCCCAAGTATTTATCTTTGGGGCCGTGGCTGTATTGCAGGTTTTTGTTAAGGATAAAACTGGCTTCCTTCTGACAAGAGCGCTCCTGGGGCTAGCTGAATCTGGGTTCATTCCCGGTGCAATGTATACTTTATCCACATGGTATACGAAAGAGCAGCTAACCAAGCGGATTGCTATATTCTTCTTCGGGATGTTTGGAGGAAATGCCGTCGCACCCCTCTTGGGAGCAGGGTTGTTAAGACTTGACGGTAAACGCAGGCTGGCTGGATGGCAGTGGATATTTCTAGGTATAACCAGAGAAAGCTCACTCAGACGATTTATTCTGACATTATATAGTGGAAGGAATAATGTCGATGGTTGCGGCTATTGCTCTGTTTTTCCTTCTTCCTGAAAAGCCAAATGAACAAATGATGAAGAACAATTTTAACGATGGCACCGACGAGAGAAGTAGCGCCAATATCTATGCGCACAATAAACCCATATCTTACCAGGATATTTGGAAGACATTGGGTAACATTCGAAAATGGCCACACTTCATCGCCACCGCCTGTGTGTTCTCAACCTGGAGCCCCTTGACAACATACACACCCAGCATCATCATGTCATTAGGCTTTTCGCGTATCGAATCGAACGCCATTTCCGCAATTGGAAATTTTGCGACACTGCCTGTCATTCTCTTCTTTGCGTGGCTGAGTGACAAGACTAAAAGACACGGGTTGATCGTCACGGTGGCAATTGCCGCATACCTCATAGCGCTGATCCTGTTACGAATTGTCCAGCCTCATGTTGGGCAATGGAGTCGAATTGGCCTCTGGACAACAGTTAATGGGCTAGCTGTGGGCTATCATCCTATTCATAATGCATGGATCCAAATTAACTGCAATACTGCGGCTGAGAGAAGTATTAGCGTTGCGTATGTTCAGTTTTTGACACATCTGCACTTTTACGATATAAACTGACCTGGTATTATGAATAGGATGTGTAAGATATAGAAATTTTGAGACCTAATGCAGGACATGCTGCTAACTTTGTCGTAGTCGTAATGACTGCCACTACCGGACTTATGGCGGGCACGCAGATCTTTCGGGACGACGAGTCCTTAGCACAGTATGCCTTCCAATACTCTTTTATTGCTACGGAGACCTCGTTATTAATTGTTTTATATTATCACAGTTATCCTAGAGGAATCGTGATCATGATTTCTCTTGTCATATCAGGTCTTGCTTTGACGGGATTACAGCAACTAATATATTTTACCAGGGATAGACAAGCTAGGGACTGTGTTGAGCCGACCTGAAAACATATGAAATAACACTCACTGGTTCTCACTGGTCCTAGGGCTATGAAGGAAAAGGGACAACTTGCTAGCGATCATAGAGGCGACCGAAAGGCAAACCCGCAGGAAAACAAACAATGCGCCTCATTCAAGGTCTTTAGAACCCGAAACTGAGCGGGAGAGCTCCTTAGAAGGTGAACCGAACGTTGAGGGACTTGTAAATTTGCTAGAAGTGCCAATTCCGCCATAAATCAATAGGTCGGCGACTGCTTCGTGACCATTTGTAGTAGCCAGCGAAAACGCCGTCTGGCCATGTCGGTCCTTTAATTCTTCCAACTTTCTTAGCAGAGGCAGTGGTAATGCTTGAAGCAAGAGCTCGACAACATTTGCTTGCCCAGCACGAGCGGCAATGTGAAGAGGCGTGACTCCGTTAACGTTCTGTATAGCTACCTTTGCTCCAGACATTAGGAGCGTTTGAGCAATGTTCATCAAGCCCAGAATCCCTGCGAAATGAAGGGGCGTGTCCCCCTCATCATTTGAAAGATTAGGATCTGCTCCATTTGTCAATAGCAGCTAGACAATGTCGCTCCGAGCATATTCAACTGCAAAGTGTAAAGCACTCATACTTCTGTCGTCTAAGGCATTAGGGTCTGGTGATGGCCCAGATGATTTCGTTATTATCAACTGTGCCATTCGATATTTCCCAGTGGCGCAAGCCCAATGAAGCGAAGTTCGGCCCACACTGTCACGATTGTGAAGCGAGCAACCAGCGCTAAGTATTGTATAGAGAAGGTCTTCTCCCCAATAAGGCCAGTCGTCAAAAGCCATTTTGTGCAAAACGTTTCGCCTATTATAGTCCTTCGCATTCAAGTCAGCATCTCGTGCGATAAGCACCTCAACAGCATTCTGAAAACCCTCCAATGAAGCTGTCATCAGCAGGGTATTGCCACCTGCGCATCTTATGTTCAGCGATGCCCCAAAGTCTAGAAGCATAAGTAAAATGCCATCATGATTGGTTTTTATGGCCCGCAGAAGCGCGGCATGCACAATTCTGGGAGATGACATGCTAAGGAGATACTGCGTTGCGCTCATGTTCACCCCTGTGGCACTTTCAATCAGGCACGCTCGTAAAGTGGTTTTCTCAATATATCCCGTAACATGGGCATGGCTCAAGGTACGTCTCAGTGAATTTAAATCGTCACCTTCGGTGGCACGCAGTAGCTCAAGCTCGATAGACCGAAGGTTCGACCCAGTCTTAGCCTTTTCTGCTAGCACATCTGCTATTAACTCGTGATGATTCAATGCAGCCCATGACTGCGGAGTGCGACCAAGATCATAATTTTGAGATGCTGGATCTGCCCCTTCGCTGCATAGCAATTCTACAGCCTGTGAATTCCCACTACCCGCGGCTCAGGATAGCGGTATTCGACTGCTGGCATCGTCTGATTCAACATCCGCTCCGCGATCAATAAGGAGTTGAACTACAGCTTCTGACCCTTCCTCTGCAGCCCACGATAATGGTGTCCGCCTAAATTCATCTTTGGCTTCAAATTAAGTACCTTGATCGAGTAATGTCCAAATCACAGACATATCTAAAACGCGAACGGCCCATGATAAAGCAGTGCAACCGGCATACTAATCTTTGGGCTCTATATTTGCGCCCTTCGAGAGCAAATATCTTACGATAGACTCGTGGCCTTGTATTGCCGCTCGTAATGGCGCTGTATATCCGTCCATATCTTTGATCTCTAAGGGTGTTGCAAAATTGCAGAGCTTTTGCACAGCCATTTCGTAGCCCTTGTTCGCGGCCTAAATCAGCAGTCTGTCTGCGCCATCATCGATGACTGATGGATCAGCGCCTTCTTCGAGCAAGAGTTTTATCATTATATCGTTTCTATTCTTTGATACCCACATTAAAGGGTTTGTTCTTGAAAGGTCTCTTGTATCGATTTTTGCGCCTCTTCTAATCAAGATCTCGGCTGTTGAGCAGTGGCCATTCTTCGTAGCCTGCAAGAGTGGCGTACTATGACTCGTAAGGTCTTTTGCCTCAATGTATTCGTTGTTTTGTCGAAGCAGCGACATAATATGATCGTGACCGTTGGTCACTGCTAGCCATAGGGGAGTGCATTTCAACTTGGAAAGACGGGGACTTCTCGCCCCCTTAGCTGTAATAAGCAATTTTGAAGCTTCTCTATGTTCTTTGCTTGCTGCATGATGCAACGCCAGGTAGCCATCAACGTCTTGCAAGTTAACATCGCAGTATTGCAGCAGGACTTGGACAACGTCGTGATACCCTAGCTTTGATGCAACGTGGAGCGCAGGGATACGATCTTCAACTAGAGGCAGGTCACAAATCGCCTCTAAGTCATCGAACGCGGAAAAAACAATAGACAGAAGTGAGATATGTCTTTCCTTTACTGCCTATCCAAATAGGCCGTGGAGATACGAACGTGCAGAACGACCACTAGGGACCCAGGGGTGAAAATTCCAAGACACTGAATCTCAAAGCAAGCTGCTGAAATGCTTCCTAAACAGGAGAAGTATGCGTGATAGCTATTGTTTGCAGGCCCCAGTTCAGAACTGTATAGCTGAAAAAGGCATATCGGGAACGGTCGGGTGGTGTGGCGCGCAGAGTTTGAATCTGCCTAAAGGCAAAACCTGTTTTGTTTCTCCAGGAGCGAGGTAACAGCTTTTCAATCAATGGTAAAAGGGACTGATGCACCAAAGAGACTGGGCTGGGCAGAGAAACTGCAACTTCTTTGCTTTGTTTCGTGATCTGCAGGCTAAAATCTTTTAAGCACAAGTAGTTTACACAAAGCTTTCCGCATTCTAGTTTTCCTTGTTCTGAAGTTTCAGGATACTCTGGTATCGAATAGCTCTCTTTTTTAAAGTACTGTTTCACGGAGTGCGTAAATCGGGCGCAGTTGTCAACTGGATCAATAACAACGAGATTGGCGCACCCGTTTAGCACAGAACTCGTCCGGGGTATCTTTGAAGCATCCCATTCGGTATTCTGGATCTCTAGGGTAACGGCCTTCTTGAGCTCTTCGATATGCAGTGGTCTACTTGCAAATCTGACCCATTTGAAAACCTTTAAAGCTCGGCGATCTCGCAGATTCATTCTTTGCAAGCATCGGCTGTAAGTTTCTTCTAGTCCCTTCGGCAAATTGCTGAGCGCTAATCGTATTTCAGCATCTGTGTCTCAAGTGTCCCCAAGAATCTCTAGCTGGAGATGTACCCAAAGAAACCTGTATTTCGCATGTCAGCACAGCTACGTGTAAAGGTGAGCTAATTAATGTGTTCAAATTAGGGTCCAAAAGGGTTTCTACATTTCTGACTTTTCTATCAGATCATGCTTTATCCTTTCCAGTAAAACTGAGTCATTCGTAAGTTCATGGACATGAGCCCTTTTATCCATTATAGTAGACTCGATATAGAGTTCAATGTCCGGCATAACATTAGAGTTCGTTGAGATTTGACGAAGGCTTGGTATCGCTTTGGTTATTTGCATTCGCCCAGGAAGGTGCTCCCTGCTGATCAGGAGTAGACGTAACGGATTTAAGAGCGTCAAACTGCTAAACAATGACCGGCACAGTTTCAAGACTTCAGTCACATCATTTACGCTTAATGTATCAAGCCCATCAATAATGTAAATTGTACTAGGGACACGGTCAAAAAGGCGAACAAAAATATTCTTGAGATTTTCAAAGTCGGGTTTCACTCGTTTAGGTCCGTAGAATCTTTCAATATCAGCGGCAACATTTCCCGGAAGTTCCTGAGAGATACAGAGTAGAAATTTGCACAATTGCTTGATAAGACTAGCCATGATGTGACCTGCCTCAAGAAGTTCGGGCCGATCGATTTCACAGTAGAAAAAGGCAGTCGGAACTCTATCACCTGATAATCGATACTTGGCAGCCTCAACAACAGATGTTCTGTCGCAATCGTTAGGCGAAAATGGCTGGAGGAGAAACATGGGTATTTAGAACCGTCATAACTCACCCTATTGTCGTCTTCCCCGAGCCAATTGTTCATTGTTACATTTAGTCTCTAGTCAGCGCAAATAGGCGGAATCATCCTTACTTCGTCTATGGCACCACAGTGTTTGGAATCGGGACTCAACAAACCACTCTTTGAAAACCAAATGGTTCAAAAACCACGTTGTGGTTGGTACCTGGCAGGCGTTTATCAGAAAGACGATAGTGAGTCTTTTCATGATCACATATTGACAACGAGTCTAGAAGTCTTTTATCAACTTAGCAATCAAGGAGAGTTAGTGACTGGGCTTTAATCTCAGGCGGGATTCGGTTTTTCGTATGCCCACTTACAGTGTTCGTCGGACTTCAAATGATATAAATGATACTCATTATCTGGAAGTCTGTGTTGTGGACGATACGATGTCAATTCACTTGGGATAAACGTCATTGGCGTGTCAACAACTTGTGTCAGAACAACGAACAAAAGCAACTCTTTTGCATATGCTGCAGCAGTCGTGGCTGCGTACTCCTGCCACTGTTTGTTCTTGTGGGAGTCTGCATAATCACAAATTCCTCGGATCACAAGACAGGGCAATATATCCATCAAGCCAGCGGCCTCCATCTCAAAACAGATAATTCTCAGTTTTTGAGCCCAGTGATCCCTCATAGCGCTATCCTTCATGACTTGATTACCTGACGCGATCAAACCGTAATGAACGACAGGGTCCGGTGTACCTCGTGCTAGTCTTCCTTTCAACTTTCCCATGTCGTAACGCTCGCATGTATCCTCCGATGCTTCATTCTTATAGCCTGCTTCAAACAGCCGATCCTGATCCTCGCCAAGATAAGTGAACTTCTCCCTCATAAGAGGGCGTTTAACGACCATCTCGCAAAGTAAGTCCGGGATTCGGCTCCCAGCCACCAGATGATTTGCTTGCAACGTAGACAAAGCTGTTAGAAGCACCGGAGGCGGTTTATTCAATGAGCCAGTTCTTATAAAGTGCCCTTGGCTGACTGTTTTGCCTATATCAAATTGTACTACCCCTCCAAACACCCCCGTCGGCTTGCTAACAACCACATCGATAAGCCTTATATCAGCTGCTTGGCTAGGTGCACCGCCCCCAATTCCTACTATGAGTCCAAATCTGACTGATGGAAACGTGCCCCTTATCTGGCTCGCGACAGTCGCTGCTGAAGTCGTACCATATATCTCTAACGGAAGACATGCAATGACTACATTGTGCATACCTATACTCCCAAGGATGTAAGTGTTCTGATCGTGCCGGGGTATGGGCAAGTCACTGTGCCGCTCGTCCAATACCGTAGTTGATCACCTGACGCCCGTCCCCACCTGACGCCCGAAAACCTCAATTTCACCGACTTTTTCGTCATCTTCAAACTGC